CAAAACTTTGCCATGTGCCACACACATTCGGATGTCATTATTACGCTCTGGAAATTTCATTAAGTATGAAAGTGCATCTAGAACAAAAGTTATTCAATAATTAATTTTGCATAGTATTGGCCATTATGCAGCAGCTGCATGAAGTGCGCAGAAAGCAACGAGCGTGCGTGTGTGTGTGTGTGTGTAAGTGTTTGCATGTAAATAAAGTGCCTACAATGATGTTTCAGTCATTGTGAGTCAGTTTTACGCAGTGTTCCGGGTATCTGCTAGTCAGGCACTCCCGACGTTTACTCCCGACTGCATGTAAAAAACAATTTCTACGGCTGTTAAAGTCCCAGTTACTGAAAGTTAATTTTTATTATATTGGGTTTTGTCTTTTATCTAGAAGAGACATTAAAAAGTATATTTATTGAAAATTGCATAGTTAAATCATTCGAGATGTGTGATAATAATAATTATAATAAAGAATAAATTAGGGAAAAAAAGCAAGTATAGCTTTTTCCTCGCTTTCAATTTACATATTCAATTCCGAATTGTTTTCAAAGTGTTTTTTGTATGGACATGGAAAACTTTATTACAACAGCAGCAGCAGCAACAACAACATTAACAACAATTTTAATTGACAGCCTCAGCAACAGGCATTTAAATTGCAGCAGCACCAGCAGCGGCAACAACAAACAAGATCAAAAATAATTTACACACGCACAGCAAAAAGTTCCACAGGCTCAACTTTTTACTCAGTTTGCTTTTTGTGAATGCAAACACATGTATAAATACCCTAACCCGCTGAGCACTATGCCAACCTCAGGCTGTCTATGGGCCTATATGATTTATTAAGAAACAGACATCAAACTAGGCAATGGATTCTATTGATAAGGGTATCTAGGTAAAGCCACAAATTCCATCTCGTTTCATTTACAGCTGCGTAGATCCCATGGGCAGCAACAGTGTTGGAAAACGGCGGGCGAACAAAGTGGAGTAAGTTGAGCTGAACGACAAGCTGGGATTTAAATCAGAATTTAGTATTCCACAATTGATTTCAGTTGACTCTAATTTCGCAGAGCATTTACAATTTCACATGGCCAAATTTTGTGAGTAATTTTTTTTTCATTAAGGAAATTTTATAAGGTAGACGCGGGTGGCCACACATATGAGAGAGTTTTTATGACGCGTGCCCTGCCGGCAATGGAGGCGCAGTCAGCCGTGGACTGAGACTTTTAGGTTTGGAACTACCTTGATGTTTAGGTAATCGTAATAGTCCTATGTATGCAGGCAACGGCACGAATGCCCGCTGCCGCCCATGACGTATTTGAATAGGGACCGAGCAGGCAAGCAGCATGAGGCATGAGGCATGAGGCATGAGGCATGAGGTCTCGCGGTCTGGGGTGGGGTTAAATGGTTCAACCACGTGCTGCAGCGAATCGATTAAATTTCCTTAATGTCAAACCATAAATTTTCAGTTGTTTCACCATTGTCAACGACCTTTCAACCCAAGACAAACACACACACACACAACAGATACATATAGCTAAAAAGTGACAGACCCCGAGCACAAAAAAAACCAAAAACGAAAACGAAATTATGTCTAACATCGCATGGCCCCGACTTTCACTGCTGAGTTAAGTGCCATATGAGAGTATAATATAAGCTATATGTATATGTAGCTGTGTGTGTCTACATATATGTAATTTGTTTTTTTCTTCCATTTGACTGTGTGTGTATTACCGTTATGCTTTGTTTATCTTTTCGTTTCCTTCAAGCGATTTTGTATGCAGTAATTTTGTTGCATACCCTGTGGCCCTGCTCACAAAGGGAAGCTTCCGTAACACTTAACAGTCGAATATGATTCATGCTTGCTATACAAGATAGCTATATATCAGATAGCAGCAATAGATCGATCGTAATTCCATCGAGCTGCCATTGGAGTCGACAAGAAAATAGCTCAAAGACCCAACTAAATATCAATGACAGGTCATCGGCTAGTCGATAACTCCCCACTGAAACACTATGCCCTGCATTGTTTTACTTCTTTGGGCCTCATATGAACTGGCGAAATGAGAGATTTGTGTAAAGATTTACGCGCTACACAAAAATGAACTTCTGTAAATTTATGTGCATTACAATCACACACTAACACGCTCACACATTGTGCCTGCGTGTCTCTGTCTGTGTGTGTATGGACTCCATCGGCAGGCTGGTCAAATGGCTACACTAAGTAACTAACGCTATTAGCCGCTTACGCTGGAGAATCGGCCCTCGTCCTGCTCGGGCATTTTTATTGCTGCATTCCTCAAAGCGGCATCAAAGTATCTGCGGCAAAGCTCTGCTTAAGTCGGCTTTGGAGTTTTAGCTGTATACGGAGGGGGAGTTTCTTAGTGCTCCAAATGTATATATATATACATCTGTATATATGTATATATATAAGAGGCATCACCTTCCTCCTGTTGGCACTTGCAGTTGGCACTATTAATTTCGACAATGTTTGCAATGCTCTGCTTGGAATTAAACCTGAATCAATTGCAGCTTATAAGTCGTACAGCAATAAGTCGCATACATTCCTCACGAATTGCCCTTAAATACTTGTCAATCTAGCTGAAATTCTCTGAGAGCCAAAGCGAAAATTACGTTAAATAACAAAAAAAAACTCACAGTGAAAACAGCATTTTTAAAGCATTGTAACAATAGATCTCGAAGCTGAGGGTAGTTCAAGTTTGTGCCCATTTTGAGTGTACTTCTGTAGGCTTTATAAGTTCAAGGAATTGAAGTGGCACTGGCATCAGTAATTACCACATTTCTAGTTTCACCTTTCACACAATAAAACACTGAAGATCGTATATACATTTGCTCTAGTTATAAATGGAGCACGAATCTTGACTCGATTAGCAAAGAAGCTGTCTAAAAAGTGTAGCACACTTTCGAGCGCCTCGCTAAAGTAAGCTTAAATTGATGGCGATGCTGGAGTTTCTTGGCATTTGTTATAGAAATTGAAAACACTTAAAGAAGTATTTCGATTGTCGATTGACCTGCTGCAGATTCGTCTATCTCACAAGGCTGTGTCTCTCTACAAACTTCGATAAACTCACATAGATGAAAGCATTTTGAACCTGTTGGCAGCTCAATGTGAACTTTGAACGAGTATTACGCCATCGGCTACGTCCGTTTCTAATCAATGACCGCAGTCAGCCAGCTGCGCCTGTTTCCATAGCATTACCAATAAATTATGAATATTTGATGTGCAATTTTTCAGGCTAAGAGCGCGTAGACGCAGATTCTGACACCTGCGAATGCTTTCAGCCAAATTTCTTGAAGCCCATGAATATTCAATGAGATCGGTTTTACCACTGGCTTTAATAGATATTCATACATCACAAGTAAATTAGTCGAATTCGCACTGCCTGACAGCAGACACATCATAAGCAACATCTGCGACCTGCCCCAATTTTTTTATTCCTGATGGCGAAATTGATTTGGCTTCAATATAGCTATTTATACATATTTTTCTAATTATTTATTTTTTTTGCATGCTTTTTGATTTTATTAACCATTTCTTGTTTTGCGTTATCGGTGCGCACATTTATTAATTAAAGGAGGCCACAACTTTGTGGGCGATTCTATTTGCCAGCTCAAATTAGAACAGTATTTAGCGCGCGCACACACACACGCACAGCTCGGCCACAAAAGGCAAATAAGCGGCCAATAAAAATATTATTAATATGCCAGCGACACACACAATTCTCGACTTTTTGGCATCCGCCTTGCTGATGTCCGCATCGGTGTCGTGTCAAAGCCGCACACACGAGCCCACAAAAAGGGAAATTAGCAGCAGACCACAACAGCCACCGCACATAGCCACACACATACAGGGCACATATCAGTTGGGTGTGTTTTGGCCATAAATTTATTAACTTAGTGTCACATTTATAGCCACATTTTCTAACCAAACGGCAGCAGCAACATTCGTGCGACCCGCCCACGCATCCCCGGCCACACATGACCAACAGCAGCAGCAATAGCAACAGTTACTCTGCGCTCCAGCCACGCCCCCGCCCCCACGCATTGGCAACAAATTGCTTTAAAATGCACTTGATAATCTCTAATTGATTGACCGGCTGACCGTGAAAATGCTCGCATCGCTGGCCATTTATCAAGCGGAATTTGAGCACAAATATCGCTCGAATTGTCAGCCTGACTGATAAGACAGTTAAATATGTCAACAGAAAATTAATGGGACTCAATCCCAATGGCTAAAGTTAATTTAAAGCCAGAGTTTTTTAGCTTCAATTGAATCACAAATTTCACTTTATAGCCAACTAAAAATTGTTTTTAAGTTAGCTAGCGGAAGTAAAGAAATTGGTGAAGCAAAAATTCACATCTTTAAAAAAAATTTATATTAATCACTGAAGTCCTCTCGATTTCATAAAAAAAATGTTTTTAAATGATTGCTAATTGATTTTCATAAGATTAAAACTGGCATGAAAATAAAATAAATCAAATAAATCATATTAAATTAAGACAATGATAATGGAAACATCAAATTTACAATACTGCTTAAAGGTGACAAAAGAAAACTCGCTTGAGCCGCAACAAATTGAGTTTTCTAGCTGCCTTTTAACTCGTTCTCTTTATTTTTTTTTTTTTTGTATTTTTTCTAATTCATATTCGAGGGCTCTGCAATATGTGAAACCATTTGTTACGTATATCAAATGGGCTAATGTGATATTTGGTATTCAGATTGTGGAGCACCTGTTGTCCACTGTTCTTATCGTGGCACACGTTTGGCCGCTTGACATAAGCTACTGCTTTACTATTTTTTTGTATTTTATTTATTTTTGCTTTTGGTTTTTTTTTTTTTGATTGTTTATGATTGTTTATCGAGGCAGCAGATGTGCAATTGAAATCAATTTCCCAGCTTGTGATTAATGCGTCAATATGCGATATGCAGATAAGGAACGTGCAACATACAACAAACACAGAAAACGAACAGAAAATTCAAAACTTACATTTGAGACACTGAGCCACACAATTTGCAACTGTTAACAACAAATTTCAAACTAGGCGCGCCAAAAGCGTTGCATGCTGCACGGCGCAACAGCAACGGTAGCAGCAGCAACAACAACAACAATAACTACCAAATAGCACTAGAAAAAAAATGAAGCACAGTCAGAAAGGCTGTTCCGTTCGCTTCCTAAATGCTGGGCACGAACTAACGGCAACGCAGTCCCGCGACCAACTGAGGCGTCCACAGCGACAGCAGCAGCATTTAAGAAGCAGCTGAAACAGTTGTTGCCTCTACGAAATGCGTGTGGGTAGCGACGAACGCTGGGAGAGTGGGACAGAGGAACGATGGTATCGGGCGGCCAACCATAAGGAGCTGCCGCACAGCACCACCAGCAGCAGCAACAGCAGCAAGAACAGCGACAGCGACAGCGTCAGCTGCTTTTCCGGCAGCGGCGTTTTGTAACGGCTGTTTCATTCAATGTCAGTCCGAAACAAAAAGCTCTGTAGTCGTGAAAAGCTCAAAGCTTTGGCCATCCTGTTTTTGGCAACTGGCAATGCCGTGCACTAGGGAGCAACTCAAAGAGAGAGGTACAGAGAGAGAGAGAGCGAGAGACTGAGAGAGCGATACAGCTTTTGCTCTTGCTCTTGCTGCTGCTCTGTTTACGTAAATGCGTGGATGGCAAAGAGCGCACTGACTTGGAACTGGTTAAAGAACTAGAGCCATAAATGAATCAGTTTTAAATCGAATTTGAATGGACATGAAATATTTGTGATTACAAAATTATGAATTCACATATATATATATATATATATATATATATATATATTTACATTGCTTAACGGCTAAATTATGTAAGCTTTGTATTTAAAATCGATTTACTTAGAATTTATTGTTATAAATTGAAGATCCTTTAATATCAGTTCTTTCAAGCAAATCCATTTGGCCATACAATTCCTTCGATGAAATCCAAAAAGGACGCGACTCGTGTATACAAGCCCGGCGTGGGTGTTGCACAGCCAAAGCCCGATGATATGACACCCATAATGCTGTACTTATTGTTCGGTTTGTCCCGTTCTAGCACTAAGGGGCCACCGGAGTCGCCCTGGCAGGCATCCTTCTCCCCTTGAATGACGTCGGCCGCACACAGCAGCGTATCGATGATGCCCTTTTTCAGATATCGCTGACTACTCGGCTGCTCGGAAAAGCTGTCGTTGCACTTATCCAACGGAACCACAGTGAGCGGGGCACGCAATAATATCTTCGAAGTGCGTCGAGCTATGCGTAAACGATACAAATTTATGCAGCTGGATTAGTCATGCGACATTAAGTAAGCCTCTTACGTACTGGTCTTATTCATTATACCCCAGCCCGCCACATAGAGGTTCGCGTTTTCCGGTGGATCAGCTAGATCCGTTTCCAAGCACGCCGGATACGTATAGTTATTTAGCTTGGCTTCTTCGGCCAGCTCCAATATGGCAATGTCATTGTACTTGCTGGTGCTCAAATATTCCGGATGAACTCTGATGTTTGACTGCAGAGGGAATTCAATGTGAATTGCATGGAAACTTAACTTATGCGTATCACCTACCGTTACGTTAATGTCCTGATAGTGTGCGCCGACATTCGCGATATCCACCGTTCCAAGTCGCACGTAGACGGGTATTTGATCCTGACTGTTGACACAATGAGCAGCCGTCAGGACAAAGCGAGTTGAGATCAGCGAACCACCGCAACCAAATCGTATATTACCTAACTCATTGAACGCAATTGCCGCCATGTGCGGATAATAAGCTGGGTCCACCGGAATACCACCCAAAATGTGGCTAGTCAAAGGCTCCTCCACTTCGCGTTTCTCAATAAGGCGACAAGCTGCCGAAAACAACAAAAACTGTACTCTAGCGATTGGAAAGCATCGGATAGACTAGAACCTGTTAGGCAAGCAGAATAAGGATAATGACTGAAGCTAACAACCCAAGCATCTATGTAGGCAGAGCGTCCAAAGCTTCGAAATTCGTTCATCAAGCTGCATAGTAGACTGTAAAGGACACCTCTGCCCATTCACTTCTCAAGCGGCAGTCCTTTACCAGCTCGTCCTATACCTAACACAGCTTGAGCGAAATTAAGCTAAGCCTGAAGCGCAGTGTTAAGTAGGCAAATATCGATGTTCGTCTCAGGTTACTAAAGCACACCTGATTGATTTCATTACCAATTCCAATGATGCTGGGATAGATCCTAAATAAAATAGCATAAAGCCGCCGTAAATACACACCTTGCACAGCTGGCCGCGGTACATCAGTACGGGTTAAGGGATCGCGTTGCTCAGGTGATTTCGGTGTGGTCTCTGTCCTGGAAAACAAAAGACATACGATCGTGTTATCTGACGATTCCAAGCTTTGAAGTATAGCAACAATCAGTGTTCAGTTATCTAAATGCATAAATGCAGCTGTGACAAACCAATTCCATTCATCGCTGCTCTTATCTACTTGTCTTTCTCGAGAACGAACTGGGTTTTCTGGCACAAACGGCCAGGAAGGTCGCCCGTCGGCCTCAAATTTAATCGCAGCATTTGAGTTGGATCCTTGAACCGATTCTTGTACACCTATAGCATTTTGCTGTGCCTGCGTATTAGTTTGGGGCTGAATCGCAAACGGTCTGTTTATGATCCTTGACTCTCGGCTTGGCGCCGGCCACTGTTGAGTGGGTCGTGTGTTATGTGTAAATATGGTATTGCGAGAGTGATCATGTTCATGTGGAGATGGTATTGGTCGCTGGCCACTGGAAACAGTCGGCGGGTCTACGGGACCCATGTGCGTAGTCAACGTGTTAGACCCTCCACCTGATTTGCCTTCATTGATGGTATTGGTTGGCATGGGCAGCCGTTGAAATTGGTCATCTCCATCACCTGACGGTTGCAGTGGCTTTTGCTTGCTATGCAGCATCTCGTTCAAGTCATAAAATCCCAAATGGGGATCCACTTTCGGTTTTAACATGCTTAATATCCAAGCTTTACTTGGCGATAGGGTGTTGCGTGTTGTTGGCCTGCCGGTGGTTATTTCGATACTGCTATGAGAACCCGCATTCTGCCAAGCGGACAGTTCGCTGTCCGGCTTCGACGTTGCCAAAATTTTCACTGAGCTGCTACTTTGGCTACACGGAAATTAGATAAAGAACGTTAGACGCCAGTTGCTTAACTAGCTAAAATGATGGGTACGAGCAACAACACTTGGAACACATTTGGCTTTGGGGGAGGACAGTAACAAAAGCAACAATACACAGCAGATTCGCCTCCATTGTCTGCACGCTCTTACCGCTGATCATCGCCACAGCATTCGCTAACCGGACAGCAAACGATCTCCTCGCGCAAGCCAAGACCACAGGTGGGTATATCATTAACGGTTAATCTCCTCGTTTCGATATACTTTTTGATGCGCGGCTCGCATTCGGATGCGCCCTGGCAGACGCCCGGCAGATTGCCCTTCAGCGTACATGGATCGCCCTCTGCAATATAGATGTGGTTAATACGAAATCTAACCCTAAGTCTAGTCAACTGAACACCTTCGAGTGCTTCCAAATGTGGCAGGCCGCAGAGCATCAGACCATACAGCAGCAGGCTAAAGCTTCTAGTTGCCCACACTCTTCTGGGCGGGAACAGCGCCATGATCGCCATTCACTGATCTCAGCTCAATCTACCCGCACCCGAACTGATCTGCAGTAGAGTTGCGTATTAAGATGATCAATCTAAGGTCTTTTCATCATGGAAATGGTATATATGTATATTAGTTATAAATTGTATATAAAAGAGTGAAAGGGCAAGTGAGAGTGAAAATGAGAGCGAGAGAGTGAGTGATGAAGCCAGATAGAACATGAAGAGGGCGAGAGAAAGGGAGAGAGAACGCGCACTTCAGCAGAATCAAGTCTACCACATATATTTATTATATATAAACAAGATTAGATTAATTTGAAAATAATGAACTACATTTGATTATGATTTTCAAACTTATTAAGTAGGCCAATTACTCGAAAGATTTGTTTATTTCACAGATGATATTGCGTGACAATTTGATTCAAACTTCCTCAAGTTGTGACGGTTAAGGTCCGATTATAATAGACCTTACTTAATGGGGATTTGTCTTTGTTGCATTCCAGCAGCGCAGATTTATTATCAGCAAAATAATTGGTGCAGAATAATGGCATTCCAAGAAACTGAATAAACTGTCAGCGACATGCTGCAATCAATAGCCTTATGGAAATTTTTCAATAGGCTGTCGAGTTCTTCACACTTAACTCTGAATCCTGCTATTCTGACAGACCATTCTCCACGGACGGACTCTGATTAAAAAGGTTTTATTTGCTCTCTCACATATTTGAGAAGAGCAAAAAAAAACTAAAATAGTAAGTCGGAACTTTCCATACCGCTGACGAGTGCACCATAGGGTTTATCTAACGTACAATTGATAACGCGATTCCATACAGCAGAGACGAAAAGGCAAAAGACAACAAGAGATACGAAAATGTGCTACATTTGTAGTACAAGTTTTAGCAAATTAACAAATTATCTCCCCTATCATCGGGTATTTCAGAGCTTACAGAGTTATCGCCACAGTTAGACTCTTCAAAAATTGGCGAAGAAGAAGAATCATAATTGAAGTTGCATGATAGAAAATGAACACAAATAAACGTGTGATGAAATTTCAAATATATTGAATATATATTTTATATATTTTATATATTAAATAGTATTATATATAATGAAATGTTATTCATATGTATGAAAATGTTAAGAGAGAATTTGTATATTTGAAAACCACAATTTTCTGTGTGCCACAAGTGATTTAAATATGTGTCTCTTAGCATGTTCGATACATATGTATATAAAATACATGTTTTAAATTTAAACTTAAGCTGATCTATATAACAAATGGATTAGCTGAAGTCACGACAGTAGCTCATTTAATGTGATCAAGCTGATGTCTATATATATATTTTTTATTACTCTGACACGCGAATAAAAAATTGAATAAAATATATACATATACAATAAATATATGTATTTATATATGATTCTATATACCGAATACTTATATATATGTATATATTGCTGCATTAATTTGAGCAACTTTTGCCATCGCCAATCTATTTATATATACAGATATGTATAGAGACTAATGTATAGTTGAAGGCATTCAATCGAGTATGGGTTTTACAAAAAAAAGAACTGTTATGGCGGATCATCACTGCTGTGTGCTGTGTTATTCGCCATTTGTCATGGGCGAACATGTAATTATAATGAATCTCTACAAAGAGAATATGATGATGGCAGCTCGTCTCTCGCACACTGATGGACTGCATTTGCCGTGCTTTTATTGATGTTAATAATTATGCTTATTTAAATCGTATATTTTGTTGCCTTGGCTTATTATCAGACAAACCTTTGACACACGCAATTCGAATTCTTTTTGCTTTGATAGCAACAAATTGAAGCAACTGCAACAAATCACGCCGGTTGTTGACTTTGTGTCAACTGCTGCTTATTCTGCTTTCTTCCAACACTTAGCACAAGGTAACAACAACAAAAAATAAAAAAACACAAAACAGTTGAAGTTCAAATAAAATGTAAACCGGTGGTAGGCGCTATACGGAAACGCTTTACATGGGATTCGGCACACTCGAGTCGTGAGGCTTCAGCCGCCGAGTACCTAACAGCAACGCGACGCTTTGCCAACTGAAGCCAAGATCAAAATCTAAAATGCGCACAGCTGAAGCAGAGACAATGCCCGAGAGCGGTCGTCTGTCGGCAATCGGCAGTCGAGAGCTGAGAGCCCTGAGTCGAGATCTGCCAGCCGAGAGCAGAGAACCGAGAACCGAGAGCCGAGAGCCGAGAGGCCCAGAGTCGAGATCTGCCAGCTAAGAGCCGAGGCTCGCAAGTTCTCGTTTGCTTTTTGTTTTGTTTGTTTGCCTTTTTTTTGTTCTTTTTTTAATTTTTAGCTCTAAACCGGTTTTCACAGAAGCTAAATACGCAACTCTGAGCACAGCCACAGATTCATAATTGAACAGCGAGTTCAATCTCAATGAAATATTGCAAAGTGAATGCAACTAGAGAATACCCATTCTTGGCATATATTGCTATTGGTCTTGGTTTCTTCTTATTGATAAAATCGGTACTACTATGGCAGACATCTAGCATCTAACAGAGTTTATGCGGAACAAGTTAATAATTTATTACATAGGCAAATAAATATATTCGAGATTTCTGTATAATATGGTTTTCAACTCTGGATTGACCTGTTGTCATTAAGAAATTAAGTTTTATCTATGTATACATGAACTACGAGAGCCTTAATACCAAATTTGCTATTCCTTGTTCTTATAATCAATCAGCTACTTTTAAAAAAGGATTTAAGACTGGCTCCGGCTCCGGCTCAGTCTGTGGCTCAAGCTCAGGCTCAAGCTCAGGCTCAAGCTCAGGCTCAGGCTCAGGCTCAGGCTCAGGCTCAGGCTCAGGCTCAGGCTCAGGCTCAGGCTCAGGCTCAGGCTCAGGCTCAGGCTCAGGCTCAGGCTCAGGCTCAGGCTCAGGCTCAGGCTCAGGCTCAAGCTCAGGCTCAGGCTCAGACTCAAGATCAGGCTCTAGCTTTGGCGCTGGCTCTGGTTATGGCCTAGGCTTAGGCTGAGTTTCGGGCTCTGGCTCAGACTCTGGCATTGGTTCAGGTTCAGGTCCGGGCCCTAGTTTTGGTCATGACTTTGACTCTGTCACTGGCTCTTCACATGCACAAAATCAGTATACCCTTTGTGAACACCTTCAATGGGCATTAAAACCGGCAGCAATAACAACAAAAATCACCATGATTCAAGGGAAAAACACAGTCCGAATCGAATTCAGCGCTAGTGCAAAATACTAATTTAAATTTGCATTTAACCCAAGTGCGTAACGCTCCTAACCCATGATAAGAATATTTTGTTCTTATCAAATTTGCTCAACGAAACAAAACTAATAAACACAGATTAGTTTACTGAACCGACTGCACGATACTCGCTCACTTAACTTTGAAACTTACATCAATTTAATTTTGAATTTTACCTTAGCCTCCTCGACAACCCTCATTAAAGAGCAGAAAAAATTAATAAACAATTTATCAAAAAATACCAAAAATACAGATCAAACGCAAGCAGTATAAAATTTCCAGTATATTGAGCGAAAAAATACCAAAACAAATCTTGAAAAATAATCTATTTCTCTCTCTCTCTGTATTTGTATCTGTATGTCTCTCTCTCTCTTTCTCTTTCTCTCTCACTCACTCTCTCTCTCTCTCACTCACTCTCTCTCTCTCTCTCTCTCTCTCTCTCTCTTTAGCTGAGACTTCAAGACAAAATATAACAATATTCAAAATATGTACTTTAGGCAGCTGGAAAACCAGTTTACATATATTGTGCTTACCTCGCTATATACTATACTACATGCTAGTACATACTAGCTATAAGACAATACATATTTAATATATGTATATGTATGCATAAATCTTATACTAATCACATTTGGAAAGGAGTTTGCAGCAGCTGTTGCCACTTGCAGTGGAGCCAGCCGCTTGGCGCCTAGACAACGTTTTACGTCCTTCTTGGCTATAGACGCTTTTCCTTCTGCTGCTGCTCGACAAAGTGCAGGAGCTGTGTGTTCAGCAGACTCGTGTAGTACATGACGTTTGCATTACAACTAGCGGCAGTGGGCGTGGCAATGCCCAGCACACAACGACTGCCGCTGGGGCGCCGCAAATGGAGCACGCTGCCCACGACAGCGGGGCATGGAGCACATGAGCTGGAATTTCTGGCAATCAGCGCGTTGCCGTCAATGGGCGCCAGGCAGAGATGTGACGAAGGCAGCTCCTGGGCGGCAGTCGAATTGGCGATGTCCTTGCACGCGTCCATGGGCAGCAGACGCATGGGCAGCTCATAGAGCGGACAATCGCTGGCTGAGAAGGCGTTGGGCTTAGCATTGGAGTCGACTCAAGCAGACAAAATCAGCTTACCATTGCCCTTGGCCCAGGCGGTGGCCAGCAGCTGCCCGCTGATCTGCAGGCGTGTCAGCTCGAACTGGGTGCACATGGGAGCCAGACCGATACGTGGAGCACTCGACTGATCCACTGGCAGCGGTTGCGTTAAGCGCAGCACAGCCAAATCGTCGCGATAAACAGCGACGCGCTGCAAGCCAAGAGACGCACGATTTAGAACAGGCGAGTGAAAGAGAGAGGAAGATAGAGCGAGGTACAGGAATCTATATATATGTTACTCACGTTTACAACGGCCAAAAAGTCCTCCTCATCGTCGACGTCACGCATATCGGCCACACCAAAGACCGCATGACTGGGCCGACCGCAGCCTGCGGCGCTGACCAGCAGCTGCGGCGTCAAAACTAGCGCCACGCAGCGATGCACATACCCATCGTGGGCGGCATTCGGATATGCGAGCGCAGCCAGATGCGTGTAGTGGGGCAGCAGCTGCAACGCATTGGCAATGGCGCTCTCATCATCGACCGTTGGCAGCGGTGTTGTCGCCCCCGGCAGGTAGATACGCATGGCGGTGCCCACCTGGCCGCGTGGCACCGGCGGCAAATTGACTGGGCAGCAGATGATCTCCTCGATGGTGCCATCCCGACACGTTTGCACATCGTCATCGCGCAGTCGATGCTGCAGCAGCAACGGCTCGAGGCTGCGGCAACGCGAAATGGACTCGCAACTGCCCTCGTACAGGGGCGTCTGGCAGGCGGCGCCCGACAAAGTGGAGGTGTCTGGGAATATGATGCTGGCCCGGCTCGGTGGTGCGTGTTCGGCCACCGAACGCTGCACATACTCTCGACTTGTCTTAAATATGCTAAGCCAGTGTTGAGGAACGTCTGTTGTTGTTTCAGCTACTGGCCGTGGCGTTGTTGTTGTTGTTGTTGTCGTTGTTGTTGTCGTTGGTGTTGTTGGTGTGTCCTCAATGGGGCAGCAAATCTTCTCACTAACTATAGTATAGCCGCAGTTAAGCACAGACTCAACTGCCAGCCGTCCACTCTTGATGAACTGCCCCAGCGTGGAGCAGAGCTCCGCTGGCTGGCAGCTGCTGCGATAATCGCGGGTCGGGCACGGATCGCCCACTGCACATGTAGAAGAAAGCATTAGAAAATATACACAAAAATAGAGTGCATGAAGCTCTGTGTGTGTACGAACCATGGAGGCTGAAATAGCCGCTGCATCCGCTGCTCAAGCAGAGCCAAAGCAGCACTGATATCACTCCGTACACTCGCGCCATGGTCCGACAACCGACAACAACGAACTGGCCAGGCGTGTCGCTCGCGCTCAACTGCTGATGTTCTCCCACTGGGCAAGTTCGTTGCTCGCCGCGACGCCAGCCGAGGCAGAGCCACCGACTGAGGCAGCGCAGCCTGCCCCGACGTCTGCTGGAGAGCTGAGGATGTGCTTAACAGCAGCCGATCTTCCAACTTTGTTTTCGAGGCAACAGAAGCATTTGAGCAGCAATTTGCATAGTGACTAAACAGCGAGGCCTGAATCAGATCTATTATATGTCCGACTAATTGCTATTTGCTCGCTGTGTGTGTGCATTATAAGGGCTATCAAAATGTAGCTATGCAATGCACATCGAACTCAATAGATGCCACACGTTATGTGCTGACCACATGCCATAAGACTGGACTATATCATTCTACTGTCACGTGTCAAGTTCTCTTACAGCAAGAATGTGCTCCTCTTCAAAATATCCTAAGCGCAGAGAGTTCCGCACATAAGAATATAATATTTATATTTTTCTTAATCTGAGCAATAATAATTGAAAGTTTAAGCGCTCAAATATACGGTATAATTATATATTATATATTATCTGCTAAGCCAGGGTTGAGAATCGACTGTGTTGTTTCAGCTACTAGCCGTGGCGTTGTTGTTGTTGTTGTTGTAGCTGTCGTTGGTTTTGTTGATGTGTCCTCAATGGGGCAGCAAATCTTCAAATTGTATATAGTGTAGCCGCAAATAAGCATAGACTCAACTACCAGCTCTCCATTCTTCATGAAGCGCCCCAATGTGGAGCAGTGCTCCGCTGGCTGGCAGATGCTGCGATAATCGCTGGTCGGACACGGATCGCCCACTGCACATGTCGAAGAAAGCATTGGAAGATATACACAAAAATAGACTATGTATCTACGAACCATGAAGGCTCAAATAGCCGCTGCATCCGCTGCCCAAACAGAGCCACAGCAGCACTGATATCACTCCGAAGACTCGTGCCATGATCCCAACCGACAACAACGAACTGGCCAGGCGCAACGCTCGCGCTCAACTGCTGACGTTCTCCTACTGGGCCAGTTCGTTGCTCGCCGCGACGCCAGCCGAGGCAGCAAGGCTACCGAAGTTTATCTATGTAATACACGCCGAACTCAACAGATGCCACCTGCATGACCACATTCCATAAGACTGGACTATATCACTCTATCATGTGTCAAGTTCTCTTACAGCAAGAATGTGTTCTTCAATGTATCCTAAATATATATATTTTTCTTAATCTGAGCAATAATAATTAAAAGTTTAAGCGCTCAAGGATCCGGTATTAGTTTGTGTTTAGGTATCTAAACTTTTAAGGGGAAAATCCATAAAAAAATATAAATTGGTAGATTTCTGTGGATCGTTTTGATGACCTGGAATTGCAAGATCTTTAAATCACAGTAATTAATTTTTACTATACAAATTTAGCTAATTTGTGGCCAATTGCTGTGTCAATTGCGTTGTCACATATAATGGTCGGGATCCCAGTCTGGGGGCTGTGCATGATCCGGATCGGGAGTACCCTGGTCTGGTACATTCGGACGGACGGGAGCAGGATTTTGGGGAAATGGAAATAGATTGCCCATGCCGGCGGACAATGGATCCAAATCGCCGCGTCCAACATCGGGCATATTATACGGATTTAGCTCGAAGCTGTGCGGCATATATGCTAACGGACGTCGAGCATCATCGGCCAGGGGATCTGTTGTTTGGGCTGGTGTCTGGCTAGTCAATTGAGGCACGGTTATTTCACGGGCATTTGCCGCAAACACCGGATCGCATAGCTCCCGGCGAAAGCGTTCAATAATTGCCGCAGCCGTTGGCAGTGTCTTGGCAATGCTGCCCTTCAGTTCGGCCACCAGAGTATCGGGGGTAACGCATAGATTCGATACATTCTTGGTGTTCACATCCAGCAAATTGACAATCAGCGCATCCTCAGTAATATGTGCCAGCAGCAAATAGAGCACCTTATTGCGCACATATCTCAGCGAGTATTTGGCGTTGTCTCCGTTCCACTGATCCGGCAGCAATTCGCTGCCGGGCTCATCATCCGGCAGACTCTTGTCATCGCCGATGCCAACGCATCGAAAGTTGCAATGCTTGGTAAGCAGAAAGTGGGCGAGCACCATTAGTACGTCCGACTTCTTGCCAATTCGATTCTCCACAGTTTTAAACAGCAAGTCCCAGCCGTAAAAGAAGTCCGCACTTTGCGGATCCACAGCTACCGTCGCGGTGGGAGTCTCCATTTCAATCAGCAATTTTGAATATTATAGAAAAAAAAGTCTTCCAACGAGCAAATGTATATTCACAAAGCTAAAGCACAGGAATGAAATCGTTCTGCTGTCACAGGTCGTGAGCCTGAACCTCGTACACAAACAACAAACGTAGAATTCGTTGAACTCCTTTTCATTTATATGAAATCTTTGTATATTCCGAGTATACATTGACCCAGATGACAAAATATCGTAGGAAATATAGATATTGCTAAATCATAATAAAAGTATTGAATAAACCCTAATCATTGTTGTTTCTGTATGTGGGCCCATCGGGTAAAACAAATTGGCCACATGCATTCTTGAATCCGATCTTTACAAATATGGTATAGAGAGTCGATTCGCTATTCACAGTGCACTCGTCTGTGGTGGGCGTGGCAATGCCCGCCACACATAAGCTGCCATCGCTTCGTTCCACATGGAGGACACTGGAGGTGGCAGTCAGGCAATTTTTGCAGCCATCGAGTCTAGGGGAAGTCTCCGGCATAGCTCTCACACAGATATGTGTTGCATTTGTATTGATTCCGGTCACCGGACGACTTAGCTCCGGCACTCTGCAGTCGGATAGTCTCTCCAGGCGTAACTTGAACAAGCCACAGTTGGTCGCTGCAGACATGAAAGGAATAGCTCGAAAGACGATCATAGATCAGGTATACCCATATTAGTGCTTACCCTCGTTTTGAGCAAAGCCCACAGCATATAGCCTTGACTGTTCCGTCAATTCGTTTTCATAGCAAAGAGTAGCCATGCTCACATTTTTCATTGACTGATCTTTGAAATTAATATCCGTGTGCAGATCGAACAGCACCACATCGTTGTTAATCTGCATGGCGTTGGTCTGTAAGAGATGGTAATCATTGACTATGAGCTGATACCCTGTACTGAATGCCCAGCAGACTGGGTGAACAGCTCGTGACCAGATCAATCAGTACCTTCAGCTGAAAAGTTAGCTTCTCATCAATGTGACCTCTCATATCGCTTACGCCCAGTACAACGCTGTTAGGATTCTCCCGTTCCTTACTGCCCACACAGATGCTTGTGGTCAGCAGTTGCTTCGACGAAAGTATAATTGCCGTACAACGGAAGACGAAGTCGTCATGAAGGGGGCCAACATATTGGAGGGATGCCAGATAAGGAAACCTAAGTTCTTTAGGAACTCTGCAAAACACATAGCAGCCCAACTATAAGGAAAACTTTGATAATGATTTTCACAAAGTGGACATACGTGGGGCAGCAGACCATTTCCGGGGAGTTGGCACTGAAGTAACCGCAGGTGGGTATATCATCTATTTTCAATTTTCGCGCCCTAATGGCCTCATGCAGCACAACGCATTTTGAATCTATCTCACAGCGGCCCATCGTATTGTCCAACTCCCAGAAGCACGAATCACCCACTGCATATATTTATATTTGTTTCATTTCAAGAACAAGACCTTAGGACTTACGTTGCTTATCTTGGGGAACGCCATCAATTTCTGAAGTCGTTATTAACAGCCTTAAAATCAAGCTTAGGAATGCCGCGATAACTGCCATTATTTATATAAAAATATACAATATATATACATATATACAAAATCGTTATCGAACGCAATAATACGTCTGTTTGCCTTGCAAGCTTCCACAGAAATGAGCCCATAATCTGCGATTCATGTCAGAGAGACAATATATAGAAAATATATAAATATATATATAATTATGCAAATATAAGTTGACAACGATTTTTATATGTCTATTTATATATACATATATATTTATACATGTATGTATATGCTTTATTCATACAATGCTACTCAAGTGAATAGGTTTGAAGTCGCTGAATGACTCAAACAATAAAGCTACATATTTTTTCCATTTTTTATTATTCCTAATAATATCAAGTATACGCACGGCGTAAGCAATTTTTCAATTGATCCTAAGAGTCCAGAATTTGAGGCATTTCATGTTTATTTATTCTTTTACAGTAAGTAACTTTATTGCATTTGATTTGACCTATTTAAAAAAAAAAAAATAATTGCTTTAAAGCTAAAATTATTTTTAAAGAATATTGATTTAATTTTTGCATACCAAAAAAAGTAAGATCAAACGATCAGACATTAAAGTTATACTCTGAACCCTATTCAGATGAGCCAAAAAATACCAGAAGCGAATTTGGCTATTTAAACAAAATGCTGATATGCCATTGCCAGTTCTCTGTGTTGCTTATCAATCAGACTTTTTCCATTTGTCGCTTTAAATATTAAAAAGGAAAACAAGTAAGAAAGCTCTAGTCGGGCGTGTCACTCTAGCAGACACGATAGATATCAAGATATCTCAGAGGAAGGAAGAAAGGTATCTAAAATCAGAAGAATACAAAATGGCCAGCTAAAAACTCTCTAGCTCTTATAATTCAAGAGAACTCAGCGCTCACACAGACGGGCAGACTGACTCGGTTCGACTCAGCTCGTCGTCCTGATCAGGCATGATCTGCGCGTTACATACCTTGAAGTCGCATTTTCAATGGACAAGTTCAACAATGCTTTCAGTTCAGTTTATTCATATTATTATTAAGACTTTGCAAACGACTTGCGTGTACTAAAACAAAGATATTCGATGACTTAATCACCCAGCAATGGGCAGACCCAAGAAAGCCTTGAATGCGCGATTCACAAATATGGTATAGAGAGTCGAATCGCTATTCACAGTGCACTCGTCTGTGGTGGGCGTGGCAATGCCCGCCACACATAAGCTGCCATCGCTTCGTTCCACATGGAGGACACTGGAGGTGGCAGTCAGGCAATTTTTGCAGCCATCGAGTCTAGGGGAAGTCTCCGGCATAGCTCTCACACAGATATGTGTTGCATTTGTATTGATTCCGGTCACCGGACGACTTAGCTCCGGCACTCTGCAGTCGGATAGTCTCTCCAGGCGTAACTTGAACAAGCCACAGTTGGTCGCTGCAGACATGAAAGGAATAGCTCGAAAGACGATCATAGATCAGGTATACCCATATTAGTGCTTACCCTCGTTCTGAGCAAAGCCCACAGCATATAGCTTTGGCTGTCCTGCCAGCTCGTCCGCATGGCAGAGGACTGCTATGCTTGCATTTTCCATTAGCTTATCACTAAAATCAATGGCTGTGTGCAGCTCTAACAGTGCCAGATCTTTGTTCATTTGCTTGATTCCTGACTGGAATTATATAGAAAGAAGAGGGTATGACACGAGAAGTTATGATTGTGGCAAGCCAACAGAACCTTGATTTCATACTCCAGTTCTTCATCGTAGTTTACTCTCGGATCAGTGACACCCACTGCAATTCTGCTTGGGGTTCCGGCAATATTCGGCCCCACACACCTGCTCGTGGTCAGCAATCGGGTCGGAGACAGGATAATGGCTGTGCAATGGTAGTCAAAATAATCTAAATGCTTTGAAAGGTATAAGATGGGCACCAGATGCTTGAAGTTCGACAGTTGTCTAAGGTGTGAAGTTGGTTAAGGGTTAGTTAGGATCAACACAACAAACACGTATTTCGTCTAATTACATGACTGTTGAATGATGTGGCGGTGGTGTTGTTGGTGGCAGCGGTGTTGATGTTGTTGGCGGAACGTAAGCCTTCGGAAACCGATTGGGACAGCAGTGCAACTCTCTGCCGCTCAACGGCTCGAAGCCACAAGAAATTAAAGTATTGTGCTGATCCTTATATGCGTGCCATGTGATGCAATCGTTGGCCAGTTTGCACACACTTTTCCTGTCCAGGCATGGCGTGCCCTCTGTGCATTGAGATTTACAAAGAAAAGCAAGTGCAAAGTCAAGTGAAATACCAGCTCGTGGATATCTATTTACGATCCCAGATACTTGTGTATAACCCAAGAGCAGAAATACATTATATAAATAGGCTTAAAGAGCTCCCATATACACTCGCAGTATACAAATATATAGTGTATATATCTACACCACCAAGGAGCGTGCCAAACAGGAAAGAGCCATATTATCTAAAGCTTTAAGACTGTTCAACTTCTAATATCTAATAAAAATTAGGTTCCCATGGGATAAACCCCTCCACAGATAGACCTATAATCTATATGGCTTATACGGAAATATTGTTTGTTGGATACATTTAACTGTGTTGGAACGAATATTATTATTCAAATTTATACTTATTTTATTGAGCGTATAGACCGCCAGCAGTAGTGACCGGAACCCACCTTTCAATTGCAGTATTTTCGATGCATAGCTCTGTGCCCATGGAAGTAATATGCCAAGCATAATCACATTGATGATTTTCATTTTCATCGCTCTTGATAAACTGATTCACTTGTGTTTCGCGCGGGATCCCGAATGGAACTGAGCTTGCTTGCTTAGCTCACAGCTCTTATGTAACTAACATTTTAAACTCAAGCATCAGTCATGAACTGCTATATATATATATATAATATATATAATATTTAATATATATAAACATATTCTTGATTATTATGCGTCAAATTTAAAATACGTTATATATAGAGTAAAGTATATACTGACTAGCTGCTACTGAGTATCTACTAGTCGAATACTCCTGATTAGGAGCAATAATTCGCCAATTATCGTCCCTCCAGATCGCCGGAACGTTGTTGTATGACTGATTCATTGCCTTCGCAGTGCATCCACTCAGATATGCGTTCTTGCACTGATCTTCGTTGGGGTCTTCCCCAAACAGGAAAGCAATTTACCATATTGATAAATAATCGAAATGGCGCATTATTCACTCAGTTGTTAGCGCCACGTGTCACGATCTGTATCACCTTATCAATTGGCTCATATGTTCATATAAAGAGAAGCAGAGCGTTGGAACAATGAACGACCAATTCAATTAAGCGGGCCTACATTGCACAAACCCAAACGTCAGACCCCAACAACGTCAGACCCCAACTTTTCTGTGTGTGCGTGTACGATAAGCCAACGATATTTTCATGCCCATAGAGCAAGATCATAACAAGTATATACACATCGATATGTATATATAAAGTGCTTCCGGATGAGTGAGCCAAAAATATATCTACAAAGGTTTATCGAAAGAGTTGTGAGTTTAACTGGAAATAATTTCTATAAATTTCTTTCCTCTTTTGTTTGTTCTCATTTTTTGCTTGCTTTAATTCAAATTTAGCTCTATAATACTTGTCCCTCTGAGAGAAGAAATGGGATGGAATATGGCTTAGCGTTATCGTTAGCGCTGGCGATGGCGATCACAGTTCAGTTCCAAGTTGATGATGCTGTTTTATTTGCTCTCAATTTGCTCTCTAGTTTAGTAACCATAGAAGAAGACTTCATATGAGAAGGTGCGCGTCTGGTTGCACGCCAACAGTATGGATGCCTCGCTCTTGCCAATGCCTCCGGCCGTGAAATAGGCGCTGGCATCGTCGGCCGTTGTGTCCACATAGATCTCGATGCTGGTTAAGGTGATGGCATTGCCTTTATATGTCATCTCCACCTCAATATCCTCGGCTGTAGTGAAGCTCTCGTCATCATAGTTGTTTACCAACAGCTTATCGCCTAGTTGTGGCAAGAGTGATTAATGACGAGTGACGCGTGATGCATAATGAATCATAAATGAGGAAGAAGGAGTCATACATAATGAATAATAAACAACGAATAAGGCATTTCGAATGAAGTGTGTCGAGTGACGAGTGGCGAGTGACGAGTGACGAAAGAAAAATAAAAGGAGAAAGATTAAGCCGATTAGTGAGCTTTTCATATGAAACTCCTATTTGAACTAACCTGATATACGCTCGCCAGAACTGAATACAATGTTACCCTTGGCATGCTTCACTTTCTTGAGAGCGGTCAGCTTAATGTCCGGCTTGCGTGTCGTGAATCGATCCTCATCCGTGACAGGCTTGATCGGCGTGTAGATCAGATCGGTGGCGCGCTGCGATTGTGGCTGCGACGGCAACGACGACTGCGAATCCTGCTGCTGCGTTGGGGCAGCGAGTGCGCAAGCGCTCAGCAAAAGTAACGAGAGAATCACTCGCTGCATTTTGTGTACACGAAGCACCAAAAAAAAAACAACACAATAAAAACAAAGCGTTCACACGAGTGCAGTTTAGGAACGAGAGAGAGAGAGAGAGAAAGATAGTTGTGATTGGTTTTGTGATTTGTGGTTTGTTAGCTCCGCGCTCTTTGCAATCTAATTGGCAACTGTTTTGTGCATTGGCTTTTTATACCACACGCTCTTATCGGCGGTCAGCGTTAGATAAGGCAGCAACTCGACGACTGAACGATAAGCCACATAGCTTTACAGTATTGGCCATGGTTTGGCTTTATTTTCCTCTTTTTTTTCTTGATGTTGTTGTTTTTTTGCTCTTGTTTTTGTTCTTTGAGCACCTAATTGGCAATTATTTGCTCAGTTTCTATAAATAGGCCAACAGTTGAGAGCTAGTAATTTTAGACATGCCCTAACGCCAAATGGATTTAGCCAATTAACCAAGTCCCCAATTAAGCAATCTATCGCTTTGCTGCGCGTGGCCAGAATTTCCTAAAATAGCCATAAATAGATTAGCAAATGTGATCAAAATTCACCTGATCGCTGGAGCATGTGATAGCGACTTTTGTCAGTGTCCGAGTCAGTGTCAGCGTCAGCGTCAGCGTCAGTGTCAGCGTCAGTGTCATATGTATATTAGAAAATTACTATTTGCTTAATCTTGAGACGGGCTCTTCAAAGTGTTTGCCCAGGCAATTGACGCTGGCGTTTCCCCTGTCGATGAGCAAAATCAATAGCAAATATTATGAACAATCAACTATATAGTGTATGACTTATTTATCGAATTGCGACAGCAAAAATAATTTCCAATTTTCATTCAGAGTCTAAAACAGTGCGTTCAATAAGTCTACAGCCAGGCAAGCAAGCATTATATTGTCGACCGATGACAAAGATGATCATAAATGAATCAGCACTTCTTTAGAAAGTTGACTATTGCCAACAATCTAGACGTTCTTAACTTAGACTATGTGCAATCCAGTGACAAGTGCTCAGAGTTGTATAACAGCTGGCATCAACTGAATACTGAAGCAATTCTATTAGGATCTATTAGGATATTAGGATTTGAAAGATGAGAACTGAGGTCTAATGTAGTTGAAATCGATTTAAAAAGGAAATTCTAATAGGTATATATTTATATCTCTCGCTCTATATATATATATGAACTTAGAGCTTCCATAACTTTCTATGCCTTAAAAGATATCGGCGTATTTTTTATTTTCGATTCATCACGCCCCCCGTGGACGTAGCCTTATGCGTATCTTATCACTCGAGCAGACAAGTTAAAGCTGAAAAACAAAAAACTTGAAGTCCATACAACAATTAGCAAGCTGATCTGTTTGAAGATCAGCAATGCTATAACTAAAGCTGAAAACCTTTACACATATCTGAAATATCGATGAGTCCACAAACATTATAGTAGTATTAATATAACCATTCGAAATATGTCTAGCTTATCGATACAAAGATTTTAAGTCCATTAAATACAAGTTAACATTTTTACGATAGCCCGTTGGCAACAAATAATATCAAGAAAAGATCCAATGGTTAATAATGTGTAATATTTTAAGCTGCAAAAATATTTCTTTATCTTCTGATAGTGGACAGTTCTTTCTAAATTGATCCACCTTGATGGGTGAACACTATTTGAGTTAAACTTATCACATATATATGAATACAATTTATTTATATATATATATATATATATATATTTATATATATATATTGTGAAATTTAAATTCTATTAATAGCCCTCTAATCAAAGTCGTAAATATCTGGCATGTACTCGCAGCTTAGTTATATTGCTCTCGAGTATTTAGTTGAGATTGTTACCCCATGGAGAATTGTAATTATCGCTCTGGATGGTTCAAAATAAAGGCGAGACTTGGATGTTGTTCTTGACGCGTGTTTTTCTGTTGTTTTTTATTTTGTTCCTATTTATTAGATTTTGTTTTGCAATCGTAACCTTGATACACAAAGGAAAACAATCCTATCAACGGGCACCTGCTATAGAGCTACCCTATAAGCATAAATGAGCTATAAATGATATCGAACGTAAGCGATAAGTGTTTTCAAGCTTTGCTTTTCGGAATAACCGCACAAACAGGTGCTGCAGGGGCTCACGGAATACCCCTAATCAAAATGAAAATGGTTTACAGAGTATCTCGTTGCTGTGCACGCTCAACTGACTTGTTATCAATGAGCAAGAGTTGAGCATGGTAAGGAAGTGTGCATATATAATATTTCCTAGCTGAAATCCAAATTCGCATCTGAACGGAAATTATTTTTATTCGCATATATCGCTATTCCCCTGGGAGTATAGCAATCAAGATATAAGGCAACTTTCTTGATAACATATATCACAATTCTAACACGTAATACATCAGACGTCAACTTTGGCTGCAAGAGCCGATGCATAAACGATAACGATAACGATAACAGAGAAAGTTTCGGCTATCTCTAAATGAATTGTTATTCCCAGCCACAATGAAGAAATTCTCGGCTATCTCTTAAACAATTCAAAATTAATTAAAAACCAACAAATAAACTATAAATACATATTTGTATATATGTATATTTATATTTATTATATTTATTTATAAACCGTATTATTTTGCTGAGTTATTTCTATGACTCAGTCGCAAGTTTTTTCCTTGATCTTGGCACCAGAAACTATTGCAAGTCGCGTGAGCTGTGAATCGAAATAAGCACAATAAGTTCGATTTCTGCTCGTCTAGATAATGTCAGCGTCATTGGGCCGGTACGTTCGGAATGTCCCTGGGCTTAACACGAATTTATGGCATCGTATACCACTTGGAGTGGGAAGCGCGTGAGCACTCTCAATTTATTTGCCTGCATTGGCTGCCGACAGATATTTACGAAGGCTCCCAAAGCAGAAAGAAAGCCTCCACCCAGTGAATGCGCAAACAGTTTATAGATAGTAATTCATTTATAGTGGACAATACGATTATCGTTTGAAAGGAAAAGCAACGTAATTAGACAAAAAAAATAATGGGAAGGTTAACTTAGAATAAGGCTCAGTTGTCAGTTCGCTTAATCGGAACCAAAGTATTGCGCCTGGTAGGCGAAGTTCTCGGTCTGCTTAGCCTCCAGCACAATCGATATGAAGCGCTGGCCGATGCCGCCGGCAACCACATAGGCATTGCCCTCGTTGTTATCCTGGGTGCAAATCAGCTCCACAAAGGTCACAATGGATCCAGCGCCCGACTCCGGATACGTTATCTGCAGGCTAACGTCCTTGCGTGCCTGATAGTGGAACACATCGGCGCCCTGAGCAACCAGTCTGTCGCCTGAAAGTCGATTTCGATTGATTAGACATCAGCACAGATGCGTTGCATACTTTGTGGAGCGATCGCAACAGCTGCGACAGCTGCGGCAACTGCTCAACTATCGCACTTACCGGAGATGCGAGCGCCGAGCGTATAGCGAACGGACTGCTCGTTGGCCCGACCAGCTGGCTGCTTCACCAGACGCTGCATCTTCAGGCCCGGATGCTGGGCGACGAAATCGCGCACATTCTTTACCACAATAATATCGCGATGTACATCGGCACCACGTACCACGCCCGCCAAACTATCGGCCACCAGGCAACCAAAGACGGCCAACAAGAGACACAGACTCAATTTGCACATTTTGTGATTTGGATTGAAAAGGGTTTTTCAGATATAGATTTTTGTGATTGTATAGTTCCAACTGCTGCGAATGGTAATCGCTGAATGAGCTCTTCCATGGCAAACTCTTTATTATTTATAGTAGAGCCAATTAAGTGGAAGCCTTTGATTTCGGTTTCATTGAATTTCGCGCCGCACGCCCCCAGCGCCCTGCTCTTGCTCGAGCTGCCTCGGCCCTTATCACACCAATTGACAATTTCCATTGACAATGTTTTGGCCAACAACAACAGCAGCAACAACAAAAAGCCGAATCGTTGATAGCCCCACGCTCGACGAATGCCCTTCTAGCGCTACAATCTCGACTATTCCAGAGCTCTAGCATAGGCTGAACCATTCAAAGAATATTTTTTTTTTTTTTTTCAGTTTTAGAATTATCTCGACATCTTCTCAATGGGGCTGCATTATTTCTAATATTTCGATTTGCTATATATTTATATGAATTTATATGGCTTGACTATATGTATATATATATTGACTGTAGGTGAACTACGAAGAAAATGCTTGGGTATTTTATATTTGATATTTCATATTTGATATTTCATATTTGATATTTCATATTTGATATTTCATATTTGACTTCAGAATTCATACTTCAGAATTCAGAATTCCGACTTCAGAATTCAGACTTCAGACTTCAGGCTTCAGACAATAGACTTCAAACTTTTCAACATTCAGGTTTAAGATTTTCAGTTTTTTGAAGCTTGAGTCTACAAAATGATGCTCCTAAGCAAAACTTTTGGTCCTAAAATTAGCTGTTCTGATTGTGCATTATAAAGATATTAATAGAAAGATCTTCATATGTAACATAAATGTATATAGTAGAGTGACCTATTCGGTAAGTTGGCTGACGAACTTCATGAGCATATGGTAGAACTCTGTTGAACATGTATTTACCATAACAATGGCAGGTGAGATAAGACATGTTCCCGACCCAGCCCTGTCACTTCAAGTCAATTAAATTGAACAATTTGACGATATTGCGTTCCGCTCTCTGCCGATACGTTCGTGGGCCAACAAACTCATGTAGCAGGCCAAAATAAATGCCAGCTCTTCCCCGGTTACGGCCGATAAGTAGCGTCGCATCATAAACAACATAAACAGCACCTGACAATTTGACAGACACTGGTACGGTAGCTTTCTAATTAGCGATATGATTGGCTTAATATTCTAGAAAACGAACAACTTCCAATATTATTCCAGATCCACATCTAATTATAGTCAATTCTATTGCAGAGCGTTTCGCAGAACCCTATCGAGGACTTCCCTGGAATTAAAAATCATCAAGTGGACAATCATCGTCTGTCACAAATTAGCAAACAAGATTAGGCAACGGCCAGAGATAACGCTTTTTTTTATTCATCAATCCGTCAATTTGTCAAATCCTGACTCATACACTCTTCAGATAATTAAGAATTGGGTAAACAGATTTCTATGGCGTTTAGATTACGCTCCAATACCCTACTTCTAGTACTTGAGAAGACATTACTTGCCTTAAGAGTTATTCTTCCTTTAAGGAGGAGAGAGGAGAGAAGAGAGACGAGAGGGGAGAGAGGAGAAAAATGAGAAAAAGGCGAGAGCAGAGAGAAGAGAGAAGATTTAGAAAGAGAAAGAAAAAGAAAAAGAAACACATATAGAGAGCGAAATACACAGATAGAGAGAGAAAGAAAAAAGACAAATAGAGAGATATAAAGCAAAGGGATAGGATTGGGCAAGTGACAGAGAGACTCAGAAACACCGCCAGGGAGACAGACAGAGACAGACAGGCAGAAGGAAACAAGCTGAGAACGACACACAGAGAGACATGATACAGAGGCTTATAAACAGAGATACAGTACAATATAACAATAGAACTTATGCTTAATGACTTCATGAGAATTGCATAGTAGAGCGACTTTACTTTCTTACTTTATTCACAGTAAAATGAGAAGTAAATTTTGTCTGTGTTTGACTTGTATATAAATTCGATGAATGTATTCCTTGGTAAAGCTTACTCTAAAGAATTTTTCAATAGACAATTTCTCTCTCTCTCTCTTTCTTGGACAATGAAATTTAGTGTTTCTCTTCTGTTTTAGAAAACGTTTTTTCTTTTATTACATTACTATTCATTATTCAGACTTATAACTCTAGTTACATTTGAATGTAAATATTAATGTATGTATATTTTGTGTATATACCCTATTTAATATATATTGTATATATGCATGTATATGAATGTATAATAAAAATTACATTTAAAACACACAGCGACTGCGAGAAAAATGCGCGTGCTACAAATTGGGTGTTTGGTAGCTCCAATCTATAAACGTCTACGTAAAATACATTAAATTAAAGTTAACAAAATCAAAGTCAAATAAATGATTCAAAATAAAAAATGGACACAAAATTATAGTAATTAATTGGCAAAATCGCATCGAGTTAGGTTCTATAGTAATTTGTGGAATGTGGCAGCAATAAAAATAGTTAGTTAACACAGGCATATAAGAAATACATATATAGAGATATACATAGTTACATGGAGTTATAATAGGCATACATATGTACTATAAGATTACAAATAATTTTGCTGATATTCATAAAAATGTCCTGGCAAGGCTATATTGCAAACGATCTGGCGCCAATAGGTAATATATATATATATATATATATATATTCACATGATTCGCTCGCTTCCTTTTCGGCAGCGGCACTGCTCGCACACATGCTAAAACACTATGCATTCACTTATGCTGACGCTATCTCACTCTAGCGCCGCTCTCACTCGCTCGCATGCGTTGTGCACAACAACAATGTACACGCACGCAAACACACACACACACACGCCTACGTTTTCTTTAATTTGGGCTGGCGATAGTCTGGGCTAATTGTTCTCAAAAAGGCAATCAGATCTTACCTCTATATCAAATTGTTTACTAAATACGAATTAATTTGTTAATATCCGAATGAGAAATTATAGCAAACACTTATTTCATAAATTTTGTTCTTTTCAATACTTGGAGCTAAAATCGATCATTGTTCAATCTCATTTGGAATCACAAATGGATAATGCCTGACTCGACCGCTTGCCCATTCTCATGAAATATTTGAAGATCAATAATTGTGACGCCTTGTGTGTGCGTGTGTGTGTCTGAGTGCGTGTTAAAACCAACAACAATTCCGTTTTGTTTCATTTTTACTAAATTCCCTTTGTCTAAAACGGCGCCGAAACCGCCGTTTAACCCCCTTACCCCCATTTACCCCTGCCTGTCCTCTCTTGCTCGTCCCCCGTTGAAACCCTTGTTAGATATTGCTTTGACGCCTGGCTGCCTAACCGTCCGAACGTTCCTACCAGTGCGGACGGATCTCCTTGAAGAGCCACTTCTGGTAGCCATCGTTCACATCGCACTGTCCCAGCGAGAGCTGCTGTGTCGTTGGATGCAATGCCATGCACTTTTTGTGGACGCGATGCAGCAGATGTTTGGTTTGTTCGTTGTAGCTCCAGGGTCCATCCACGGTACCCAAGCGGCAGACGGCCAACTTAATGCCCTGACGATCGGCCTCCACGCAGCGCTCGCCAACGCCCAGCTGCCCGGCGGCATTCAATCGCACTAGCTGATTATTGCCACCGCCATGGCAGTAGGAGAGGCCCATTATAGCCGGCGGCTGGTGACCCATAGAATCCAGACAGCCATCGGAGGCCACCGAACGCAGCTCGCCCCAATGCAAGTTGGCAGGCAGGGCGGGAAATTTGTCTACCACATCGTAAGCGATGTTGTCCATGAACCATTGGAAGGATTTGCAATTGAGGCGCTTCTTCAGGGCCAGCTGCTCGGAAATATCGCCCATGTCTAGATAACGGGCCAGCGGTTCACGCGTGTAGAAGAACTCCTTATGTGTATCATCGAACCAGGTCTCAATGACACGCTTGTAGTTGATGGTAATCAACGGACCCTTCTTCTTGCTAGCCAGCTTGCCAAAGTTGTAGGGCATAAAGCCGCGGTAGACGTGGCCGACACGGGAGCAGGGCACCCATTCGATGCTGCCGCCACATTGCCAGATCTTGAAGCTCAGCTCAAAGTTCTCGCCGCCCCACACAAGCAAGCCAGGATCGTAGGCACCCAGTTCAAGGAAATACTCGCGATTAATCGCAAAAAGACCGCCGGCATGCGTCGGACTGCGATAGGGCTCAGAGTTGTGGGCACGACGACGCTGTTCACGGCGCGGCACCTCGTTCTCCTTGTACAGCATGCCCCACTCGAAGATGCCGCGGAAATGATTGTCGCTGCCATAGACCGGCCGATACTCGAAGCTCTTGTGATCGATGCCGTCAATGATGGGCACGGTCATCACAGTCCGATCCCGATAAATGGGCGCCAACAGTGGTGGCAGCCAGTTGAGATTCACCTCACAATGCGCATCCAGAAACACAATCACCTCACCTGCAACAAAATTCAAATATGAGCGAGACAGAAATATAAACAAGTTAACACTAATGGCTCGGACCACAGTCGTTCAAGTCTTAAGTAATATATATATTCCTGAGAAGCGCACAGAGGGGCACTACTTAAATAGCAGCTATTAATAGCAAATAAACGTATTTAGGAAAACACGCTTTCTCCACATTCCCTGGCCTTAGCCCAGTCTACACTATATATGAGATATACATATAGAATTTACTAATTGAACCGGTTTTATGATTCGCACAGCCCGCTCCGCTATGCCCAAAGCCGCTGCTGTTATTCATCTGCTAAACGCATATTAATTGAGTTTCTATGAGGATAGTCCATCTCCAGCTATATAGCACTCCTGCCAGTGTAGCCCACTCACCTGTAGCCTCCATGGCGCCACGAGAACGCGTGCGTATGAGACCCTCGCGTTCGGTATTGCGTATGATCTTGACCAGGCCTTTGAATTGCAGGACATACTCATCCAGTTTGCTGCGCAGATTCTCCTTGTCCGAGAAATCGTCCACCAGGATGATCTCGTGCAGCATGTGCTTGGGCGAGCGATCGATCACCGAGTGCACGGTGCGCATCAGCACGGAGAAGCCTTCGTTGTGGAACACAATGATGACACTGGTGGGTGCCAGATCGTATGGATAGTCCCAGTGCTTGCACTCCTCGAGACGCGTATCCCGCACCGAACGGTGCATCGATATCTCATCGGAGCAGGCAATATTCATGCCATATTCCATTTCGGAGGCATCTGCCACGTTCTTCTTGTCCGGCGACAGCGTGTGTCCATCTCCATTTTCGCCGGGTCCGGTACGTGGCTTCAGATCTTTCGGCTCAAAATTGCCCAGACCTACAAAAGCAAACAATTAGCCATATAACGATCGACATCTGAACACACACAAACACGATGCAACGCGATTGTAAACAAAGACCAGTTGTATTTGAATAAATGGCTACAACAGCAAGGCTGCCATCATATGATATCATCGCAGGCATATATTTATGTATGTGCGTTTTTGGGGGGAGATGTGGGGGGACGAGGCCATTGGAGCAGCCTGTGCAAGTGCTTTTCGCCAACTTACCCTCCACTAGCTTGGGCACCTCTCGTGGCCTATTCTCGAGCCGCTGATGACTGAACTTGGGTCCGCCGAAGCGCGTGTGATACGCCTCTTGGACTCGCTTGTGATGATCGCTCCAGTTGGCCAGCAGATAGAGCAGCGGCAAGATGACCAGCAAGCACAAAACCATGCGGCAAATGCGGCCGCTGCGTATATTACTCACACGCATCTCGCCCCAATTGTGATTCTCTCAACGAATCCGAAATGCCGATGCCAATGCCAATGCCAATGCCAATGCCAATGCCAATGCCAATGCCAATGCCAATGCCAATGCCAATGCCAATGCCTATGCCAATTCCAATTCCAATTCTAAATCGTGTTTGTGTTGACGTGTCTACGTATCTCTGTAGAAGTTGGCGTTGGCGTCGACGTCGCCGTCGCAGCAGTGGCTACGCGACAACAATGTAAGCCAAATAGTCAGCAACCGCCGCACAATAATTAGCCCAGCTAGCGGCCGCTTAAGAATTTTTGATTTCAGATGCGATGTCAATGTACGAAGCTGCGTGTATGAGCATATGTGTGAGCCTGAAAGCAAATGAATGTTACTGTGTGTGCGAGCAGGTGAGCAGTCGCTGCGAAAGCGTTGATCAAAAGGCAATCAGCGTTAATGATAAATGAACGTAGCGACTGAACACTTCACGCCAGTTGAAAGCAGTTACAGTTCGATGCGAATCGTTTTTTATTGCAACTGCTGCTGCTCACAATATACAACGCGGCCGCAACTAATGCAAATGCAATGCAGAAATAACTGCACTATAAACGTAAACAAAAAAAAATTGTTGCAGTATGCGGAACTGCCACGCGTTTGACGTTTTCTAGCACATCAGGTGGCACCTATAGCACTTCAGCGCCAACTGGCGGCAGCGATACACAATAAATGCCGGCTGCTATCGTTAATCGACAGACAAATATACTAAGCACAAACAAAAAATACCATACAGCCAATTTTATATGAACTTACGTTTGCTTGCGTTTGATTTTTGCGTTAACGTTGCTGATGCTTGCGCTTTACTTTCAAGGACGTTACGTTTGCATACGTACGTAAGTTTGATATTAAAATTTGAGTTTTTAAAAAATACGCGCCAATTTTTACTTGTAATATTGCTTTGTCGAAGACGTTGCAATAATCGAGCAGTTACATATATTTACATAATTCAATACATAACAACAATTTTATAATATACAATTACACATATGTACAAATGTACAGATAGAGCGTAATAATTATAATTACTGTTTACTGTGGATACACATATTTCTATAATGAGAGTTCAAAGATTAAAAGTGGCGAATCGCCCATGAAACGTGATGACAGTCACATTGGCGACCAATTTAATGATTCATCTTATTTGTTTTTTCGATGGTCAAAACGCTACCAACACGACGACGATCATAGAACGGTTCCGGTTCATGTAGCGCCCCGATTGCAGTTACTGCAGCAAATCCCCCGTCACCAGGATTATCACTCATCGTGTGTCCCGCTTCCTTCAGATATTCAATGACCTCAGAATTCACATCGGCCTCGTAATCTATGCGCATTGGTATCAGCTGATGATGCAGTCGACCATTATTGACAGCCAGCGAAATAGGCTCGCGGCGTATAAGATATTTCATGATGACCTAAAAAATACCAAATCAATTATCAATTACTCTTCTTGGCAATAAATTAGTCTACACTCTTAATATGCTATCTGCTCTAAAGCAATAATCGTATTAAGTTGGCTGCACTTGGTCATACATTAAGATATTCCTATTATCCATCCTATTTAGATGTCTAGACGTACCGTTGCCACACTAGTTGTGATTTTGGTTCCGCCAGCAGCTCCGACTAGCATGCGCACATCGCCATTGCCATCGACAATAATGGATGGATTCATGGAGGACATGGGCCGTTTGTGTGGATAAATGTAATTGGCAGGCGAGGAAGGCACACCAAAGCTGTTTATAACTCCCGGCGTTGAGAAGTCATCCATCTCGTCGTTCAATATGATGCCCGTTTGTGGTGATGCCACTTTGGCGCCAAAGCTGCCAGACAGCAAGAAAAAGAAACAATCATTAGTTTTTCAAAATAGATAACTGTGCTTCACACTCACTAGGTGTTTATAGTGCTGGTTATGGATATGGCGTCGCCATTGCTGGCCAACACATTCATATGAGCCGTGCCGTGATCGGGCTCCACTGTGAAATTGGCGCCATAGTACATATAATCCTGCGACGTTTTGTCATCCTTTATCAAGGAGCGCACGGTTTTGACCAGATCTGTGCCAAGTAGCTTCTCCAGTTGCATCTTTATACTCTCGCCATACTCTGGGTCGTTCTCATAGTCACCCAAATTCGAGCGCTGACCGTACGCATGCTTAAAGCTCTCAATAACACGCTGCCAGTAAATGGCCTCATTATCCGAATACAGGTCGCTCATCACGTTCAATATAAAGGCCAGAACCGGACCGCTCGATGGCAATGGTGTTGTATATAATGTGAAACCGCCCGTAACATTTGCCGATATGTGGCCATCACTTTCCCAACGGCACCTGCGAATGAGCCAAATAGAATAATGCGATTACATTTAGGCACAAATAGACGACGCACACTTCAATGTAGATATCTGAATGAAACTCTGATGTATTTTCCAGTGATCCCACGGAAAACTAAACGTCCATGTTTAGCATTTCGCTGACAATGTTATGCATTTACTTCTATCAAATAGAATCTTGACTAGCCCTAACTCAAGTACCATCTAGTGTTGCATAACGAACTTAAAATCTTCGCCATTATAGAACTCTGTATCTCAGTTACTTCCATAAATCACTAAGTCTAGCTAAGGCAGAGCTAAAGCTATCTATCTGAAAGGCTATGTAGTGTTCTATAACATGTTTAAGAATCGCATGGATCCTTCTCTTAAGACTAACTTGAAATGCTTCGCTTTTAGGGCACTAAATAACTGTGATACTTGCTTGAAATTTTTGAGATCCTCTAAAGTAATGATGCCGCCTAATTTTCTAATGTCCTCAATGAACTTAACGCCCGTCTCGCCGCCATCGTAAAGCTCGCCGGCGCCATTGTTGGCAATACGTTCGAGCGTATTGGCCAAAGCAGGACGCTTCATATAATCGTGTTCCACATACGGCTCACCCTTCTCGTTCAGGAACATTTTGGCCAGCGCTGGATCGCTTTTGATTTGGGATATCTTGGAGCTGATGGCAGCGGCCAGATAGCGGGACACAACATGACCCTCGCGGGCCATCTTAATGGACGGCTGAAACAGATCCTTCCACGGCAGTCGGCCATATTTCTGATGCATCTCCCAATAGCCGAGTATTTCGCCAGGCACACCGCCCGCCAGTGCGCCAGTTACCTCCTTCTGACCGACAAACATCTCCTTGTGGGCAGCAGCCGGAGCCGATTCGCGGGCAATAACCGTTTCCACTTTACGCGTGCGCCGTGTGTAAATGGTGGCCACAAAGCCACCGCCGATGCCCATCGAGTGCGGCAGCATAATGCCCTCGCAGAGCAGCGTCGCAATTGCCGCATCCACGGCGGAGCCACCCTCCTGCAACATGCTGCCACCAACCTCGGCGCATCCGATGCCATTGGAGACAACAGCTCCCGTAATATAGCGCGTATCCCTGGATCTTAGTCCGAAGACAAGGCCAAGCGTCAGACCAGTGACCATTAGAGCGACGATCGATAGCCATACAAGGCTCTTCTTATTCAACAGCAGCCTAAAAATGAAATTTTAAATATGAATACGTGAAAGTACACATAAATATAAATATTAACATAAATATGAAAAAAAAAAAAAATATATATATATATGTGTAAACAGCGAGAGCGTATGTTCAAAATCGTGCGCAAGTAATCGAACTCGAAGCCCAATTCAAGTGGATTCCCAAGTGGATTAGCCGGGATTTCATTAATTGCCCAAGTTCTGTTTGAACACTCTGATTAGACTAACCAAGTTAGATTGTTTTCGGCTTTTATTTTCTTATATATATTTATATATATATATAATATTATATATATAGAAATATAAATTTGTATCGCTACCCTTTTATTTACTGACGCAGCGACAATTGGCCCAATAATTTTTTTTTTATATTTTTTTCTCTATGATATATATATATATATGCATATATAAATATATATATATATACATATATACACATATATGTGTGTGTATATAAGTTACATTCGAAAGAAATCGACATTTATATTTTGGCTCCAAGCATACTAAGATAGTATGCAAAGGCTTCTCGTATGTGTACTATATACGTACGTATATATATAGAGTGGAGTGAATGAAGACGAGTAGAGACTTGGGTCGTATCTAGAAGAGGAAGCTTGTGTAGAATCGATGAGTCTGTTGATAAAACTACCGTAAATTGCTTTGTCACCTCAACTATTTTCATTCCATTATCAATGGCTGTAACGATGCTCTGTGTTTGCGCCATTGATAAGGTGTTTAATTTGATATAGAACGCCTTTAACACTTGGAAAAAACTCATCAAACTTAGCAACATCCTAACGGTAGTTTAATGGTAGTTTTCAAGAGGATTCGATAGAAAATTAGATTTCAAAGAGCTAAAAAAATACGAATTAAAGAGCTGACCAAAATATATGGAAGTCTTATGAATTAGTTAGTTTTGTATGTATATATGTATATATATATAAATATATATCGATCATATTTGATTTCATTTCATTCGTTTTATTGGCTTTTTGCACTTATAAAAATCAGAAATTCCTGATAAAGATCTTTATGTTTGGAACTAAATTCATTAACTGATTGTTCAATCAAAACTGAGCTGAACTGAAGTGTGGTCGTTTAGTCGGTCATTTATATCTTAATTATTCGATTAGAAAAGTCTTCATAACAATAAAAGTCGAATATCCAACGATATATATGCGTATGTATATACTCAAGACACTAACTTGGTTGTCTTATTGTGATATAATGCACTTGAAGGCAATATCGTTGCGCCGTTTCAAGTACCATGACATTTCATATTGTTCTGCTCAGGCCGCTAATTTGGCTGGTCATCCTTCTAGCAGTCCACGTGCATCATGCAACATGGAACACATTCATTCCAAACGCTTCTCTTATCAGCCTGCTATAAGTATAGTATGTGTATGTCAAGCGACAAATATGGCCTATCGTAAAGATACGTATTTCAGCTGTTAGGCTCGACAGTGCCATTAACAGGCAATTTTCTATAATTAACGGCGATTTTTTATACCCTGCAATCATTTTAATGAGTGCTTGCGTTTCTGATAGCGTTCGAGGGTCCAGTATATATCGGGTTGAATGGATGCCTATTAGAGCTAAACTGTAGCAAAACTCATTCAATATCGAACTTAACTTATCGTTTAACGACACTTTTTATCGTTGATCTAAGATCGATAACTATCAGCTCTCCGTAGCTGTATCTCACAATTAACAAACAAGATAAGATATCTATTGTCAATTGGATCATAAGTTACACTTTTGTAGAATGGCATTGGGATTCTCCCTTTCACATCTATCAAGATAATCCAGGGTATCTGCCCGTCTAGACCGCTCGTGACTGGCAAATTTGGATTGTTTGTTTACCAATTTCTAGTGACGTAGGCTAAGGCGTAGAAATAGCGCACGCGACTAAATCATAAGTAGCCGATCGTAAATCATTGGTCTATTAATTTCAAGAGTTTCAAGTGTCTAGCTGTACGTGGTTCGAACTCGAAAATCGAGTTCGATTTCTGCACACTCATTGTCTTTGATGAAATCTCTTTGCAGATTAGGATCGAGCCATATTTGAGTATATCATCGATAGGTATTACCTATTATAACTGTACCACATTTATGATACCCAAATTTTTGTGCAGTTTTACAGTCTTTTGATAGGTAGTTCAACGGTAGCCGCCTTTATTAGTGGCCGCCGGCGCTCCCATTTGATCAACATTTTTCGATTGATAAAACGTATATTTATGTACATACATGAATTTTCTGCAGCCCTATCTCTTCCGATACGCATTGTTCTTAATACACCCAAACACACCAAAAGTCTTTATATGAGTCAAAGAACGCAAGTCATCTTCTTAGAACCTTAAAACAAAATTACCACTCGAAAATAACTATATCTATATCTATATGTGCCCATAGAGTGTTGAGGAAACAGACTTTGAGTTTTAGCTGTTTGTTTTATGACCATAGTAAATATTTAGCACGCAATTAGCTTTCGTTTTTTTTTTATGCTACAAATACTCATGCGCTATGGATATAGACTGAGGCTGGAGCTGAGACTACGTCACTTATTTAAGTGGAGCTCTACAAATGGGTCTTCGTCACTACTAAGCAGAATCATCATCATCTATACCGAGAGGTACCGCAATAAAAATTGATTAGAAAACGTGATCACATAATATTACACCAAAAAAATTCATTATAAATCAGTAAACTATAAATAATACTGGAAATACCCATAATAAACAGGGAAAGAACCCCACAACCAGTTACACTAGTTATACTAGGTTTTATTTGTTCATTTCGATAGATTGTCTCTATGTGTTGAGGGCCTAGTAAGGGGCACTCAGAGATAACGCATAAGATGTTCCCCAAATTTAGAAATCGATAAATGTATATTCAGAGTGTTCAGAGATCTTAAGTGTTCTAGAGTTCATATTACATTATCACATTATCCATTAGCCTTTTATATGGTCTTTGCTAATTATCGTTCTAAGCTTTGTTTCTACTTTTCGCAAAGCCAGCATGACTCTCTCTCTCTCTCTCTCTCTCTCTCTCTCTCTCTCTCTCTCTCTCTCTCTCTCTCTCTCTCTCTCTCTCTCTCTCTCTCTCTCTCTCTCTCTCTCTCTTTGTCTCTCGCTCTGCCGGTAATTGAGAGAATCTAGCAAAGCATGAATTATTGTTAATTATTTTTTGTTATATATATTCTCTAATTTATTCAAGCGTTTTGTTTTTATCAACAAAATTAATTTACCGCCAGCTACGTGTGTCAATGTCAGCAGAAAAATGTCAACAGAAAATTATGAAATAAAAACAAAATCAAATTTAAAACAAAATATAATAAATAACTCTGATTGTGACACGTTCATCAATAATCTGTTTATACTAAAAACTATAGGAATGTAAGATATACCTGATTGTGATTGACCTTGGAAGACGTTTTGGTCCAACAACTTTGACTTAACTTAGATATTAGGCAGATGAAAAATAACTTGAAATTCAGAAATCGATATTAATCGCTAAATATCTTTTACGATTGGCGGTCATTAATACTCACACAAAGACTTTTAGTACTATAGAAATCGTTCATTGTAAAAGGAAAATTCTAAATTAATCGATAAATATCTATTGTTTGTGCTTACACAAAAAATATGAAAATATAAAAATCGATAACTATTATAAAGAAGCATACCAATGATCAAAACTGTTGAAACCGATATCAATAATCAAGAAAAATATCGAAATTGTAACGATTGTAAGCATATAAATCGATAACAGTGACACAAATTGATATCATTATCAAAACGTTATAAATCGACAACAGTAAAGATGTGTATCGAAATCTGAAAATCGATACAAAACGATAAATATAAATAAATAATTTGCTGTAAATAAGCCCAATATTATAATCCCTCTGAACTAACTAAAGTATCCAACAATTGAGTACCTCTCGCTGAATAACTCCTTATTTGGCCATCATACTTTGGGGCCATAAATAGTCAAGTGTGTATTTCCTCAAGTGAAAGTGAATTAGAGTTAGCAGCATTTCAGATATAAGCCCTATACGCACTTCGATACGTATGCGAGCAATTTATGAGTTCATTAAAGGTAGTTGCTTTGTGACTCTGCTATTATAAAACGATAACAATTGTTTGACACTTAATTGTGGCTATGTCGTTATCTTCATCTTATCGGAGGCAACACATATATCCATAAATGTCTTTATTTAGCATGCCGTTAAGCAGCGCAATAATCCATTTCTCAAATATTTGTAGCTTATTGTAAATTTTGAAGGTCGCAACGTGGTCACTAAGTGCATACATACAACATTTATATATATATACAATATTAACATATACATACATACATACAATATATATATATATATATATATATATATATATATATAAATGGTATCGCATAACATGGTCCATAAAACTGCCTAATTGCAAAGTTACGACGCGACGATAAGTTAAAAGCTCGATAAAATACGTTTAAACAACGTTTTTAGCAGGAAGAATCGCTCTTTAGATAACACACACAGACACACTCTCGCTGTCCCTCTCTCTCGCTCTCTCATACCTATTCTCGCGTCTTCGTTCTCTCCAACAAGCCGTCTGCTCAGAAGCAAAAGGAATTCTGCAATCTTGCTCACATTTTAGCGTATTTCAGTTACATATCACTTCTAATTAGTAAGCATGCTGTAAGTTGCGCTGATAGACTTTGGGCTACCCTGTTCATGTTAAAGTTGTCTTTATTATGCAACAACCAATTTGAACTCTATATGAACTCTATTAAGTCATTTGCTTCAGCGAAAGCTTTTTTAACAATCTGCTCATATTTTATTTATTATGAATAATTATGCTTATTTTTATCATCGAACTATTAGTTGAGTAAACAAACCACAATTTCGAGCAACTTTCACAGTGCATCCATATACATATATATATATATATATATATATATTCGACTATACTATGTTTTCCCCTTCCAAGCTTAAGCATACTTATTACAGGGTATTTGACAGGAGCAGCAAGTGTGATTGACTATGATACAACTACAAATGATACGTGTATCGTGCAAATACCATATATGATTGCCTTAGTTCTGTTTGCGATTCTTTCATCTTCAACACATTTGTTGCTGCTGCTGTTATTGTTGTTGTTGCCTATGATACACCTGATATGCTAGTGTTTGGGTGTTCAAGTGTGAAGCAGGCAATATAGTTCACAGTTAACACAAAAAAAGTAACAGAAATTAGAACTTTTACCTGTGCATACTCATCGATTAAAGATCGATAACAATTGAACTATGATTGAGCTGATTGCCTAGCTTAGTTTAAAAAATTTATAGTTTACTCAAGTTTATAAATTTTTTTTAATTAAAATTGAAGTCGAATCAACTAAGATTCATTGGCGACAGGTAAATGTATTGATTCATCTATATACGGATATATATAGTATAAGTAACTGCATTGACGCAGCTGAACAGTCTCGAGGATTGGATAGTAGAATTCTATGAATTTTATTGATAGGGCTAATTACATGATTAATAATACCATATAACACTTACCTCATTTTGTGGAATTATTAGCGCCTCACAAATTGTTTGAACACTGGGCAAGAGCAAAATAAAATGAAAACAAAAATTTAAACAAAAACTAATAAATAATTTATGCTGTTCACAGCAAATTATGCAAATATGGTAAATCGTAAGTAAAAAAATAATATTAAAAAAAATGCAAAACAAAAAATTAAATAAACAAAAAGCACTAACAATGTCACGTTGGTGGAGCCGCTTTATAAATGCGTCAATTGCGAATATTCTCAGTCGTTGCCGTTAGAGGGGGCTAGCTAACTGAGCACTTGTCGCGCTTAGCCTCGACTGATGTGCTGGGACCTAGTGCGGCGCCGCATTACAACTTTGTTTCGATTCCATTCGATTCGACTCGATGTATTTTATTTTGGTTTTGGTATTATGTACGTCAACACACATATATGCACTTTTTTTAAAGTAACTAACTGTTCTTTATCGAAAGAGCCAGCGCAACTTACACACAAACGCAGACGCACTCGCACACGCACACACATGTACATGTTCTGCGCAAAAACATTTGCAGAGAGTCGCTCTAAGCTTTACGCTCCCTAGTTTAAATTGATCGTTGTGAGCTTGCGGGAAAAAATGAAAATGAAACTAGCAAAAACAATAACAGTAATACACGCACACACGTTACTGCATGCATGTATACGAGTTTGATTTGTGCAAGTTTAAAATTATATGTGTTTGGCGCAAAGCTAAGCCGGGCTGCCGACTCGCCGGAGTTGACGATAATTATGTATCAGCTCGTGCAAGCCGTCATATGCATATATGTATACAGGTATGCAAATAGTGTTAGCATGTGTGTGCGGGAGAGGGCGGCTAAACTAAGCTTGAAAACAGCTGTTGCATTCTTGTTTTTGTTCGAAACCAGCTGAGCGGACAGCTGCCAATAGAAACACGCACAGACACGGATTAATATAACGGTTTCACACTAAAATTTGCTTTTAATTTGTAGCGCATGCAAATGCAAAATATAGATTTATATATGCAAGGCGAACTGTTCACTTAAACGCCAACAATTTTAAAGTACTCCAATTGCAAAGCGAATGTGTTCCGTGTTCCTCCTTTTGTCTATCGAGTTATCTATTATATTCCGACTTGTTTCTTTTTGTTTTGTTTTGATTTGCTAGTGTTTTTTGTTGTTCCGATTTGCTCTTCTGCCCGTTTCAACGCCAACGTCCCATGGGCCCAGCCACTTTGACAGTGTACTTGGGCGAGCGTCTCTTTGCCTTCATCTGCTGCTCCTGCTCTATCATTTTCAATGCAGCAGGCCCAAGTGCCACATACGGCATGTTTGGATCGGGAACAGTATGTAGCGGCAATCCCTGCTTGCTTAGCCGCTGAAAGTTCGGCAAAGGTGCATTCTTTTTCTCATGAGCGAGATCCGTGTAGCCCAACTTGCGTCGTTGTTGTGGCGTTATCTTGTTGCAGTGGCAAAGCTGATGGATTCGTAATGCCCGCTCCAGATCGAATGTACGATCGCAGAACTTGCACTGTTTGCCAGACGGAATAGCCGCCTGAGCTGTGCTGTTCTCCCTAAAGCGACGTCCCCGGAATCGCACCTTAAAATCATCGTCGTGGGTGCGACGATGCGCCCCAAGCAACGACTTAATATGAAAGATGGCCCCACACGAGCTACAGCTATAGGTGGGCTTGTGCATTTGCTTAATACTCAGCTGGCTGCGGTGATTGGTGTCGTTCAAATGCCGTTCATATTCCTCCTGTATGGCACCACGCATGGAGCGCGCCAATTTCAACTCATCATTCTCCTCCTCCTCTCCGAAATCATCACGCGGCGACAGGCCATTACGCCGAGGCGATTGCAAGAAGGCTGTAACAAAACCAAAAATTTATTGAAATATGTCCATTAATAGCGCCTACTCACTTTGCACAGCTCCTGATTTTTGCCGCGAAATGGTGGATGTGTCGTCCTTCAATTTTGACTGTGAACACTTTTTGTTGCTATGCTTACCCCGACGATTAGGCCTATCGCTGCCTCCGTCACTGGAACGCTGAGCACGCCTTCGGACTGCTCGCGAATTGACTGTCATGCGATTCGATTCAGCTAGATAGTTTAGTTTGCGTTGCACCGTTTTTTGTGCATCCTCCATATCGGAATCAAGCTGATCATAAGTCTGCACTTTTATGCTGCGCTGGTATGGCGCGATTTTATTTTGTTTCATTTTGATTTTGGTTTATGTATTTATGTTGTTACTGTTCGTATTATATAATGCTGAGCTTTGTGGCCCGCAATGTTCACGAAATATTAAAATTTCTTAAAAATTACTTTGTAATTATGTCACTTCCCCAAGTGTAAAATATAAACTGAGGCTAGACACGATGAAATAAAATACAATGCATGTTGAAATCGGCTCATAATTCTATTTGAATTTTCGCAGTGCTCAACAATGCCGAAAAAATTGCTTACAAAATAAATCGATAGATGGCGCCGCATTTAGTATTTTATAATTCAGTATATTAAATAAAGCGAATGCATAAAATGTTTTATTTTTTCCATGGCTAAATGTATTTAAGATTGTGATAATTTTTATAGACTAAATAAATATAATTTTTAAGCTGGTTTTAGTAAAACTAGCTTTGATTTCGATATATTTCTAACGTAACGTAACGTTGCTCTTTTTGCGTTATGTTGCTCTCTTCTGCGCAATTTACGTGCCTGTTACTTACGGCTGGCCGCGTGCAATTTTTTGGCAGCTAACAATAAAGTAATTGCAGCCCGCGCGAAGTTACCAAAAATCTTGCGATTACATACATTTTGCCACGAAACGGCGCAAACTGGTCATAATTGAAGATAAAATTCTTGTGTAGTGATTTATACTATTGTTATTCGTTGGTGTTGGCATTTAGAATATGAGTGATACGCGTGAACAGATTTTGGAACAAATTAAAGTACAAGGCGATCTCGTGCGTCAACTGAAAGCAACGAAGGAGTCCAAAGAGAAGGTCAGTACTAAGTACATAATGAATGCCCATGTCCATGTAAATTATTTGCATATAAAAGTATAGTATGTATATTTGCATGCAGGCTAAACCATTCCCATAGTGCACATGCATACACACATTGTTTTGCCATCCATGTGTACGTATGTGTGTGTAATTTCGTTAATGGCAGTTTGTGTGTATGTGTGCCGCTTGTCATGCGTTTTTAACCCTTTGCCGTTTATGTGTACATCTGAATCCTGTTGCACTTCTATCCAACTACTGTAACTTTATTTATGTATTTCATCAGCCGCACACACATGCGTGCTAACACATGTACGTATGAGCGTAACATAACGTATTCGACTCGTCATCCGTTACCCGTCACCCGCTCTCCACTCTACCGTTCGTGCTGCGTTGGCAGCCTCTCATTATTGAATTTTAGCTCTGTAATTAGATTGCATGTACACATAACAGAGAGCTCAATCCGCAGCAACAAAAAAAGAGAACTTTCACATTTGAGTACTGTATTTTGGTATTTGTTACAAGCGTTGTTGCAGTGCAGTGTTGCCAATTTTTAATGGCATAAAAGGAGCTATTTTTAGTGAGAAAGAAGCTAAAGGAATTTGTACATGATACTCTATTTTATTTATTTTTAATACATAAATATGTATATTGTGGATTAATTATAAAAGTACCCTTGACTCAATCTGTAAAAAAGACTGCAAACAGTAAAATATTGAAAAAATTGTTATAAGAAATGAATCATTTATCGGTTTATTCACTTAACCGCATAATTAGATAATTAAGACTTAAAAGTTTATCATGAGTCATGCCTCTTCATAGTGAAAGTTTAGCGTTTTTTAAGCTGGCCAGATGAGGCACAACTGCACGTTAGAAAAAAAGCTAAATTGGCAACACTGCTGCCGTTCACACTCGCATTGTAAATCAACGTTTGGCCTCAGTCAGTCGGCAGTGACAGCCTTGAAGCAAGAAACCACCGCAAGCTTTTTAACCATTACCTCTCCCTCTCCTTGCCGTCATCAGCTATTCCGTTGCGTTTGCCCCTTTTTTATATTCGGTTTAAAATAATGAATGCTATTGTACTTGTTGTTGTTGTTTTTGCTGTTGTGATATTTTGTGCTCATGACCGACTGACTGCCAAGCGAATCATTGCTGCGGCTCAAGCTGCTGAAACCGGCTTAGCAACAAATGACGCAGCCTCCGTTACTTGTATATGTGTGCGTAAGCAGCATTAATGTCAACGTAATTGTTGCCATTAATTGCTATTTTATGCGTTCATTGCATTTAAGCGGGCATCAGCTGTTTCTTGGCTTTCGCAAACCGTTAAAAATATATCGATATATCGATAAAAGGGGAAAAGAATAATATAAGTTATCTGGTGTGGTTTAATCATTTAATATGGATATAGAGAATATTGAGGAATCCAAATTTGATGAATTATCAGATTGGTCAAAAAAAAAATCGGAAGCAAAATGTCCTTGAACTCGCCTTTGCCGTGATCTAATTTCGAGCTTTCGAAATTTCGAACTTCAAGTGTACAAAAGTGTCAAGTGTGTATGAGCGAGCGAGAAGGAAGGCGGCCAGATTAATGTCCAATTGCAAACAGGTCATGAACGGCGGTCAAGAGAACGCAATGATTTTGTATAGCGTTAACAATATTTATAACAAGGATCTTATATTTTCTTTTCTACACACCACACACACACATTTGTACTAACAAATAACATACTAACACTCGCATTATTTTGTACATTTAACATTTTCACATAGTTTAAACAAGTTTAAGAAAATAAATATTTAAACAATGCAGAAAAAAGTTCGATAACCTCTAATCGGTCTTTTTTTATTATTCATTGTTGTTGTTGTTTATTAGGATTTATAAGCGCTAATGCAAATAATTTGTTGCTTCACTCGAAAGCAATTAGGAAAGACATAAAAAAAAGAAAGACAGAAAAAGAAATATCAAACAGTAAAAGTCAAAACCAAAATGTTGCGTTCGATTGGCCGCCAGTGGCGCTGTAGTGTTGCGTTTCAGTGCCCTTGCCTTAGCCCTGCCCGCCAGCAGCTGCCGCTGGCGCCATCTAGTGAGGGCCGTGCGATATCAACAAGCGTTGGACAACAACTGAAAGCACAACAACAACAATTACAAGAACAGCAACAACAAGAACAACAACAACAAATGCATAAGGTTAGCATCTAAGTGCACTATACAAAACACCTGAAAATTAAACCGAAAATCATTTTTCAATTCATTTTGGATCCATTGCAGATCGATGAGGAAGTATCACGTCTTCTGGCCCTTAAGGCCAAACTTGGCGGCGATGCAGCACCGGCCAATCAAAAGTTCACCTTGAAAACGCCAAAAGGCACGCGCGATTATGCGCCACAGCAGATGACGCTGCGTCAAGATGTGCTGGACAAGATTGTGCAGGTGTTCAAGCGGCATGGTGGTGAGGCCATTGACACACCCGTCTTTGAGCTGAAGGTTTGAATTGCATGTTAATTGATGTAACCATATGTTGTAATACGATTTTCAATTTGCAGGAAGTATTAACAGGCAAATATGGCGAGGACTCGAAGCTAATTTACGATCTAAAAGATCAGGGCGGCGAAATCTTATCAATGCGCTATGACCTAACTGTACCATTGGCACGTTATCTGGCCATGAACAAGATCTCCAGCATTAAGCGTTATCACATCGCCAAGGTCTATCGTCGCGATAATCCCGCCATGACCCGCGGCCGCTATCGCGAGTTCTATCAATGTGATTTCGATATTGCCGGAACCTACGATCCAATGCTGGCGGATGCTGAGTGCGTCAAAATTGTTGCCGAAGTGCTGGATACTTTGGACATTGGCGACTATGTGATCAAGCTAAATCATCGCCAGCTATTAGACGGCATGTTCGAAGCGTGTGGCGTGCCAGCGAGCAGCTTCCGGGCCATCTGCTCTGCAGTCGACAAGCTGGACAAGGTAAACAAAGAGAACTGCAACAATCATTTTTAGACTTATCAAAAAATATTTATTGCTTCATTTTAGTCACCGTGGGCGGATGTGCGCAAGGAAATGGTGGATGAGAAGGGCCTCGATGGCGCCACAGCCGACAAGATTGGCGAGTATGTTCGTCTTAGTGGAGGCGCCGAACTCGTTGAGCAGTTGTTGGCGGATGAGAAGCTGAAGGCTGTGTCCAATGCCGTCAAAGGGCTGGAGGGTATGCAGCTCCTGCTGAAATACTGCTCACTTTTCGGACTGGAGCAACGCGTTAGCTTTGATTTGAGTCTGGCGCGCGGACTCGACTACTATACGGGCGTCATCTACGAAGGTGTGCTAAAAGCGGATCCCAGCGCCCCACCCTCACCTGTTAAAGAGATACATAACGGCGATCAGGCGACGGAGCAGAGCAGCACTGTTGGCTCCGTGGCGGGTGGCGGTCGTTATGATAACCTGGTTGGCATGTTCGATCCACGCGGCAAGGCTGTGCCCTGCGTAGGCGTCTCGATTGGAGTGGAGCGCATCTTCTCAGTGCTTGAAGCCAAATTCGCGGCTAGCAAAGTGAAGTTGCGCACCAACGATGTGGAGGTGTATGTGGCTTCTGCTCACAAGGGTCTGCACGAACAGCGGCTGCGTGTGCTTAACCAGCTGTGGGATGCGGGCATCAAGGTGAGTGATTTGGCATTGCCATATCCAAGACAAATTATTAACGAATCCAACAATCCACAGGCGGAGCACTCATACAAGCTTAATCCGAAGCTATTGGCGCAGTTGCAACATTGCGAAGAGCATCAAATACCCTTGGCCATTGTCCTGGGCGACGCCGAGCTGGCCCAGGGCATTGTCAAGCTGCGCGAGGTGACGACGCGGCAGGAAGCCAACGTCAATCTGACGGAACTACCCAATGAGATTCGTCGCCGACTTCAAAAATAGTTATATACCATCCTCGCCTCTGGCCAATTCACGCAAAGTTTCGATATTGCAATTACATCGCTATGAATTTTTTTTAAACATTTTTTTTTTTTGCTTTATTTATCAATGCATCAACTGTGTTTTTTTTTTAATATTGTTTTATATTTGCTCTCGTTTGCTGCGCCGTCGAACGGATCCATGTGCTACTATATTATATGAACCTACCATTTAATTGTAGGAATAAGTTATAGCAAATTTATACCAAAACTGGAGACTAAAAATAAACTGCTAACGCATTCGCATTTAATCAAAAGACAAATATATTTATAAAAGACGAAAAAAAAAATTAAATGCAATCTGGAGTTGAAGGTTTTGTTTATCTTTGATAAAGGGGATTTGATCCAGAACCCAAGTGGATCAATAGCTTCGGATTGCCGAAGATTGATTATCTCTGCATG